TTGGCTGGCGATGGTTACATGAAGAAACTATGGAATCCGCTACTCGGAGGCTGAGCAGAAGATCGCTCTTGGGTCAGGATTTGGGTGCTGTGAGTAGGTGAGCCACGACACTCTACCCAGCGGCAAGAATTAGGTGAGACTCTGTCTCAAACGAAAACAAACATCTCTTTCTAAACACATGAGGCTGGGTGCGTGGTCACGCTTATCTAGCATTTGGGAGCTCGAGCAAGCAGATTGCGTCAGAGGTCAGGAGTTCAAAAGCCAGCCTGAGCGATGACCCCGTCTTACCAAAGAATACGAAGATAATTGCCAACAAAAACTGAGATATTACAAAAATAGCAGGCAGGGTGGCGCGATGCCTGTGAAGTCCCGCTATCGGGGAGGCTGAGGAGCAAGGGATCGCGGAGCCCAGGAGATTGAGGTTGCTGTGACCAGCTTGACGCTCATGGCACTCACTCTAGGCCTGGGCACAAGTGAGACTTGTTTCAAAGAAATAAATAAATAATAAATAAAATCAGATAGATAAGAGTTAGATTTTTCTCGTAAAATTGGGCATCGGTATGATTAAAGAATTGGCCAGGATTAATTAATAGAAAGCTCGGAAAATGCCAACATTTATATAAATATAGATTCTATTCCCTCCTCATTCAAATAAACCGAAAGTACGAACATCAAATTCTAATCTTAAGCCAGCGGCATGTGGCTCATATCTGTAATCCTGGACTTTTGGGAAGCTGAGCCAGGAAGATGACTTGGGCAGAAGTTTGATTTGCAGTAGCTATGATTGATGCCCATGTACTCTGGCCTGAGTGACAGAGAGGCCTATTCAAAAAAAAAGAAACGAAGATTAGCAAAGTACGAAACCGTATACTTATTAGTTTATTTTGATTTAAGGTTAATTTTATTCTTTGTCTTTTTTTTTTTTTTTTGTGGGGAGACAGAAGGTTCTTCTCTCTTTGCCAGACTAGAGATACAGTGCATCATCATTAGCTCACTGCACTCAATTCTGGCCTCAAGTGTCTCCTGCCTCGGCTCTGAGTAGCTGGATAGCACGTATGCATCACCAGCCTGGCTTGATTTATTTGTAGAGAAGGGTCCACTGTTCCTCCGCTGGTCTCAAATCGCTGAGCTTAAGCAGTCCGTCACCTCAGCCCCAAATTGGCATAGGCTGATTAACAGGCGTGAGCAATGCAGCATGGCTACAAATATCATTTTGTAATTGGAATTGGGAAAGGATTTATTTGAACATAGTCCCAAAAAACTCAGACAGGATAGAGAATTTTTGTTATCTTGAATGGCAAGAATACACATATGGCAAGGAGGAATTAACATCGTCCTGGAGTAATAAGAACTCCCTGCAATAGTTAGGTTCCCCTTGCAACATAAGTTAGAAGCGAAAATGTACCTTTAAAAAGAAGAAAAATGCCGGCGCGGGGTCAGCGTATCCGCCCTGTAGGCCGACGCGCTGCTGAGCGATTCATAGAGTTGCGAACACAGTCTGATGCAAGAGTGGACCGGTTGTATAGTTAATAGAAAGAATCTTATTGGCCAATAATATGATATATAGCAAAAAAAAAATTAGAGCGGATTGGTGGGATATGCTGTAGTCCGCTCTTGGGAGGCTGAGGCAGGAGATTGCTTGACGCCAAGCCCAGGAGTTTGAGGTTGCTGTGAGCTAGACTGACGCTACGGCACTCACTCTAGCCTGGGCAATAAAGTGAGACTCTGTCTCAAAAAAAAAAAGAAAAATAGGCAAAGGACATAAGCAAATCACAAGTTACATTCATTAGGCTTTTTGTTGTATGACTTCTGAGTTTACTGTCATGCCTAGGAAGAACTTTCCCCCTCCAAGTTGCTCAGTGTTTCTAATACTGAAAGAAATGCAGATTAAAACTTTTTTTTTTAACTATAACTGTCGATATAAAATAGATACTGGTGTTGGCACAGATTTTAGTGCTGGCGAAAGTATTAAGAAACATGCACTTCTGTTCCCCATTAGTGAGAATGTAAATTGCTATTATTTATTTGGAGGGCAATTTAACAATTGCTGTCGAAGTATTTATTATAGTTATGTGATTTGACTCAACAACTGAAATCTAGGTCGTTAACTCTCACAATTATACAGAGATTATATACACAAGGATTTTCACTAAAGCATTGTGGTTTTGTTTTATTTTGAGACAGAGTCTCGCTTTGTTGCCCGGGCTAGAGTGAGTGCCATGGTGTCAGCCTAGCTCACAGCAACCTCCAACTCCTGGGCTCAAGCGATCCTCCTGCCTCAGCCTTCCAAGTAGCTGGGACTACAGGCTCGAGCCACCATATCCGGCTAATTTTTTTGTTCCTATTTTTAGTTGACTGGCTAATTTATTCTATTTTTAGTGGAAACAGAGTCTCGCTCTTGCTCAGGCTGGTCTCAAACTCCTGGCCTCCAGCAGCCTTCCAGAGTGCTAGGATTACAGGCGTGAGCCACCGCCCCCAGCCAAACATTGTTCTTTTTTTTTTTTTTTTTTTCTTTTTTGAGACAGAGTCTTGCTCTGTTTGCCAAGGCTAGAGTGCTGTGGCATCAGCCTAGCTAATAAAGAGTGAAAAATTGCGAATAACCTAAATTCCCATCAATCGGGAATTAGATAAATAAATTATGGAAATGACATACCTTACACCTTTTAAAAAATAAATACGTAAACCTATATGTACTGATATGAAAAGATGTCCAAAATGTATTAAGTGAAAAATATAAGTTGAAGATTAGTATGTATTAGTATAACATCGCACTTCTAAAAAGGTGAAATTTATATATATATATATATACAAATATGTATATGTAATTTGTAAATTTAATGTGATTCCATTAAAATCCAAACTAAGTTTGGAAACTAGATAAGATGATTTCAAAGTTCAAATGGAGAAAGTAAAAAAAAAACAAGAGTCAGGCCAGGCGAGGCGCGGTGGCTCACGCCTGTAATCCTAACACTCTGGGAGGCCAAGACGGGTGGATCACTCAAGGTCAGGAGTCCGAAACCAGCCTGACCAAGAGCAAGAGCAAGACCCCATTTCTACTAAAATAGAAAGAAATTAATTGGCCAACTAAAATATATATAGAAAAAATTAGCCGAGCATGGTGGCGCATGCCTGTAGTCTCAGCTACTCAGGAGGCTGAGGCAGTAGGATCGCTTGACCCCAGGAGTTTGAGGTTGTTGTGAGCTAGGTTGATGCCATGGCACTCTAGCCCTGGCAATAGAGTGAGACTCTGTCTCAAAAAACAAACAAACAAACAAACCAAGAGTCAGGAAAATTCTAGAAAGAAGACTATATGTGAATATAGAGGAATTAGCTCTAGCAAATATTAAAAGATATGATAAAACTGTCATATAGTGTGACATAGGCACGTGAATCCAGAAATGAACTCAAACTCACATAAGAAAATTGTATTAAATACAAAATATTAAAATGTTGTTTAAAATCTGTGGGCAAAAGATGACTATTCAATAAATATAATACCTGGGTATAGCCATCTGGGAAAATAGATGAAAAATTAAAATATAAAACACAAAGACCAGGTGTGGTAGCTCATGCTGTAATCCTGATACTCTGGGAGGCCAAGACAGGAGGATTGCTTGAACTCAGGAGTTCAAGACCAGCCTGAGCAAGAGCAAGACCCTGTCTCCACAAAAAGTAGAAAAATTAGCCAGGCGCAGTGGTGCATGCCTGTAGTCCCAGCCACTCAGTAGGCTGAGGCAAGAAGATCACTTGAGCCCAGGAATTTGAGGTTGCAGTGAGGTATTATGGTGCCACTGCATTCTACCCAGGCCAACAGAGTGAGACTCTATGTCAAAAAAATTAATTAATTAATTTAATATAAAAAACAAAAAGTAATAGAAGTAATGAATAGGGAGACATTTTTAATAATCTCAGAATGTGGAAGGACTAATATACAAAGCTTAAAAGCCATAAAAGAAATTTGGGCCAGGCGTGGTGGCTCACATCTGTAATCCCAGCGCTCTGGGAGGCCCAGGCGGGTGGATTGCTCAAGGTCAGGAGTTCGAAACCAGCCTGAGCAAGAGTGAGACCCTGTCTCTACTAAAGATAGAAAGAAATTAATTGGCCAACTAATATATATAGAAAAAATTAGCCAGGCATGGTGGCGCATGCCTGTAGTCCCAGCTACTCGGGACGCTGAGGCAGTAGGATCCCTTGAGCCCAGGAGTTTGAGGTTGCTGTGAGCTAGGCTGACGCCACGGCACTCACTCTAGCCTGGGTAACAAAGCGAGACTCTGTCTCAAAAAAAAAAGTTTGATAACTTTGTTTACAGGATATAAGGAAACAGATACTTAATGTTGCTGGTGATGGTGTAAACTGGTACAAGCTCAATAAAAAACAACTGGACAGTAACTAATAATCAAAAATGTATGGGGCCGGGCGCAGTGGCTCATGCCTGTAATCCTGGCACTCTGGGAGGCCAAGGCAGACAGATTGCTCGCTCAAGGTCAGGAGTTCGAAACCAGCCTAAGCAAGAGTGGGACCCATCTCAACTAAAATAGAAAGAAATTAATTGGCCAGCTAAAAATGTAGAAAAAATTAGCTGGGCATGGTGGCGCATGCCTATAGTCCTAGCTACTCAGGAGGCTGAGGCAGGAGGATTGCTTGAACCCAGGAGTTTGAGGTTGCTGTGAGCTAAGCTGACGCCACAGCACTCACTCTAGCCTGGGCAACAAAGTGAGACTCTGTCTAAAAAAAAAAAAAAAAAAAAATGTATGTACTCTTCCATCTAAAGAGTGGGCAGTCCCACTTCTTAGAGTTTATCCTACATATATCCTTGCAAATCTAGATTCTGTCTCCTATCCTAACAGAAGTCTAAGAGTTATTCTTTGGAAAAAGCAAAACAGAGTTTCTGTACAGGGTATACTAGGCCAAATTAAGGTGTGAATAGTCTCTTGAAAATGGGGCTTGAGTGAGCATGTGATTACTGAATACTGGGATTTCTGTCCTTTTTTTCCCACTAGGCTCCCAGAACACTGGCACCCAAATCTTTACTCTCCATGCAAAGATTTTAGAAGAGTCTTCTCTGAAGAATCTGACAATTCCCAAGATACAGGCTTAAGAGGTTCTCCCAACAAATTGCCCATGCAGATTATCTTGCAGTGAATCTCAAAATCCTATAAACCATGTGCTCAAATCTTCCAGACAGCTTTTTAGTCCTCTTAATCATAAGCAGACAACCAAAGATTATCACACCTGTGAGAAAAAAAACCCTAAATGTGAGTTTTAGAGATCAAAACAAATAGAAAAAAACAGTACTGAGGAAAACAGGCTATACAAGGAGATGAGAATTTTAAAACAAGTGATAATAATATTCTCAGATTGAATAGATAGATACTGCATCCATGAAACAGGAACAGACTGACATTCATGTAAGAAACTTTGAAAAATAAAGAAAATCTTGAATATTAAAAACATGATAGCAAAAATGAAAATGCTAGAAGGATTGGAAAAGAAAATTAAAGAAGTCTCCACAAAAGAGCAATAAGCAAAGAGGAACCATAAAAGAATGAAAGCTAAGAGAGTAGAGGACCTGAGAGTTCAACCTACAAATATTACAGGAGGAAATTATCCATAAAATATTCAAGAAAAATGTCCAGAACTAAAGGACATGAGTTTACAGAGTGAATGAGCCCACCGAGTGCCCAGGAAAATGGGTAAAAATAGATCTGTACCAAGATACATAACTGCAAAATTTTAGAACACTTGGAGTAGAGCAGATCCTACAAGCTTCCAGACAGAAGAAATGTCATATGAAAAGGAACAGAAATCACAATGGCTTCAGACTTGTAAACAACACAACCAAAAGCAAGGACACAAGCTAGAGTATAAACTTTGACTTTGTCTCTTTATGTACCTTTGCCACTGTTGTTCTCTGCTGGGTCCCAAGTGCTTAGAGACAGTGCCAGGCATATAGTAGGTTCTCAATAAAAATTTATTGAGAGAAAGAAAACAATAGAGACGGCTTCAAAATTCTGAAGAAAAATTTCTTCTTGCGTATAACTAAGCCAGTACAATATATATATCAGTCAAATATGAATTTAGATAAAGACGTTTGCAAAGTCTCAATTTACCCTCCCTATACCCTTTCTCTAGAAACTATGAGAGGATATCCTCTACCAAAACAAGAGTTACCCCAAAAAAGGCAAGGAATATGGGAAATAGGAAATCTGATGCTTGGGGAGAGGCAAAGAACCCATAGGAAGATGGTGAAAAGAGATCCCAGGATAATAAATATACATCAGAAGTGTTAATAAATGGCAACCAGTTCAGATTGGAGCAGTCACTAAGATGCCCACTGCTTTGCCCAAGAACAGAGTGCCCTGGTTATATTGGCCCAGATTTTTACATGCACTTAGCTTGCCTGAACCATGTGCTGATGAAGTTCCTGCCCTCCCTTCTATCCTGTCCCACCTAAATTAACTGAGAATATGCATTTTACTCCATGAAAATATTCTGCTCCTATATAATTCCTAAGGGCCAGAGGTAGGCCAAAATTGAAAATACAGCAGGAAATACGCAAACATCTTGACACCATTCCCGAAACATCCTGAACGAGACCTCTGCTACAGTCCAGCCAAATGCTTCAACCGTGGTGACCCCTGTTTCCCAGCATGCTTGCTTTGTGGAGAGTCCCCCAAGACCATCCCCAGATTTGCTAGGAAGACTCACAGAACTCAGCATACGGTCAAGGCTATGGTTTATTACAGTGAAAGAACACAAAGCAAAATCAGCAAAGGGAAAAGGGAATGGGTTTTATTGGGAATTGGTCACGTGGGAACCCTCTGCCTAGCACAAGCCAAAATTCCAGGCTCCCTGAAAGAAACAGCATAAACCATATTGTTTGCACAGTTTAGGCATAAAGGTCCACTCTTACCATTTAGGGAATGATGAAACAACCCCCCCCCCCCCCGAGATCCACGCTTCCAGAAACCAGCCAAGGACCAATCTTGTAAGTAGACCTTTCTAAGGAGAGCAGTCTCAGGCCTGCTGTGTTAACTCTTTTTCTATACAATTTTCCATTGGTCTTACCCAGAAGGGGCTCATATAAACAATTAGGGAATCTGAAGCCAGACTATGATCTAGAACCTCCATTTATTTATATTCTTCTAGAAGCCATCAGTGGGATGGTAATAATATTACCTTTTTCTTACACAGCTAGATATGTGCTTGCCAATATGTTTTTTGTTTTGCTTAGGGAAAGATACTGTTTAGAGGTACACACCAAGGTAATAAGGTAATGTGTGGTGGATTTTGTCTAACAAAACCCATTCTCCCCTTCTGCCATGGTAACAGAGTTGTAATTGGGCACATGGCACCTTTCCCTAAGACTACTGTGTTTCCCCGAAAATAAGACCTACCCATAAAATAAGCCCTAGCAGGATTTCTAAGCATTTGCGCAATATAAACCCTACCACGAAAATAAGACCTAGTGATGGGCGCGGCTACGCAGCATATCTGCACAAGCCGTGCATTTGGTCGCAGAGCAGTAAAGAAGACAGCAGCCCTTCTCTTCTGCCCCATGAGAGGTCTATTGTTTGACGTGAGAGATTGGGGCCAATGGTTCTAAAGGAAATAGAGTTGCAAGAAATTCAGGATGGAATTTGGGGTTTGGAGAGTTATGATGATGTTCCAGAAAGACAAGACTTAACTAGATTTGAATAAATGTAGATTATTGTACCGTGCTTAAAAAAATAATACATCTCCTGAAAGTAACCCCTAGGGTGTCTTCTTGAGGAAAAATAAATATAAGACCCTGTCTTCTTTTTGGGGATACACAGTAAGTATGTCCTTGTGACTAAGGTCTTACTTATGGTGCCTAAGTAGAAGAGATGCTTCTGGGTCTGGGTCTTAAACTTCACAGTGCCTCACCCATAATCTTTTTCCTGGTCCTGTTGACTGGCACCCAGAAGTGCCAAAGACACAAATTTAATCACACAGATGTGGAAATGCTATAGTGACAGGAAAACAAAAGTGTAAGAGCTGCCCCACCAACCTAGACTATAAACATTGGATTGGCACATGAGAGAAAAGTAAATTCATTTTTAATCAGTGTGGGATATCTTTGTTACAGCACTTTATCACCCACCCTAACTAAAAAACAGTAACACAGAAAACAGGATGATAGCCACCTCAGGGAGAAGCATACAGAGAGCTTCTAAGATCTGGTAATGTTCTGTTTTTTAACCTGAGTGATGGGTATACTGATATTTATTTTATTCTTATTCTTTTAACAATATATATTTTATATACACTACATGTATATATGTATGTTTGAATCATTTCACAGTTTAAAAGAAAGGTAAAAATTCATAATAATACAATTTGACCCCTGTTGTATTGGCAAACATTTAAAAGTTTGATAATATTCAACATTGGAGAGTGTGTGGCAAAACTAGGATCTCCATAAATTTGATGGGAATGGCTGGGTATGGTGGTGGCACCTGTAGTCCCAGCCACTCAGGAGGCTGAAGCATGAGGATCACTTGAGCCCAGGATTCTTGAGTCCAGCCTGGTCGACAGAAGACCCTGTCTCCAAAAAAAAAAAAAAAATTGATGGAAATATAAATCAATATAAACTTTTTGTAGTATGATTTTACATTATGAAATTTTAAATGCACAGAGCAAATCAATAAGACAACCCAATTTTTTGAATGGGCAAAAGACTTACACAGACACTTCACAAAAGATAACATTCAAATAGCCAATAATCTCATGAAAAGGTGCTCAATGTCAATACTTACAAGGGAAATACAAATTAAAACCACAATGATATACTGTCACCAGAATGGCAAAAATTAAAAGGACTGAAAAACCCTGTGTTGGTGAGGAAATGGAACAACTAAAACTGTTCATTGGTGCAACTACTTAGGAAAATTATTCAGCAGTTTCTACTAAAATTAAGCACATATATGAGGTAGAACATACATATACACTGCAAACAATTCCACTCCTGGTTTTATACCCAACTGAAATGAGTATTGCATTCATCCAAAAATGGGTACAAGAATGTTCATAACAGCTTTATTTATAATAGCCCAAAACTGAAAACATCCCAGATGTCTATCAACAGTAGAATAGTTAAATAGATGTGGTATATTCATACATTTCTGTGAAACACTATGTAGCAATGAAAAATATAAGTTGGGTATCCCTTATCTGAAATGCTTGAGACCAGATATGTTTTAGATTTTAGACTTTTTTGGATTTTAGAATATGTGCATATACCTAATGAGCTATCATGGGGGTAGGACCCAAGTCTAAACAGAATTCATTTGTTTCCTAAACACCTTATACATATAACCCGAATGTAATTTTATACCATATTTTAAATAATTTTGTGCATGAAACAAAATATTGACTGCAATCCATCATGTGAGGTCAGGTATCACATTTTCAAATTGTCAGCACTCAAAAGGTTTAAGATTTTGGAACATTTCAGATTTGAGATTTTTGGATTAGGGTTTAGTTTGAGATTGCGGTGAGCTATGATGACACCACTGCACTCTACCAGGGCAACAGAGTGACACTGTCTCAAAAAAAAAAAACTTGTTGAACGTAATTACTTTATTATGTTTTTTAACTATTGTTTTTAGAGTGTCTATTTTAAATAAAAATTTGTTACACCACTAAAAAAAAAAAGAAGAGGTAAAACTTTCCTATTTGTTAATAATAGAATCAAATGCATACAAAACCCAAGAGAATCAACTAAAAAACTGCTATTAAAAGAACTCAGGCCGGCTTACGTATGTAATCCCATCACTCTGGGTGGCTGAGGTGGGAGGATCGCTTAAGGTCAGAAGTTCAAGACCAGCCTGAGCAAGAGTGAGACCCCACTCTACTAAAAATAGAAAAAATTAGCCTTGTGTGGTGGCGCATGCCTGTATTCCCAGCTACTTGGGAGGCTGAGGCAGAAGGATTACTTGAGCCTAGGAGTCTGAGGTTGCTGTGAGTTAGGCTGACACCACGGCACTCTAGCCTGGGCAATAGAGCGAGACTGTCTCAAAAAAAAAAATGATAATAAAAGAATTCAAAGCCGGGGACAGTGGCCTGCATGTATAGTCCCAGCTACTCAGGAGGCTGAGGCAGGGGCAAGGGTGGCGATCACTTGAGCCTGGGAGTCCAAGTTCGACCTGGGCAATATGGTGAGACTCTCTCTGATTGTCCTTAAGACTATAAAAAAAGACAATTCAGGGAAGTGATAGAGTATAAAATTATAGAAATCTGAAAACTTCATTTACACACAGATACACAACATTATAGTGAACATCCTCATACATATTGACCCATGTGGGCATTTCCCTTGGGTATGTGCTCAGGAACAGGATTAGTGGGTCAGAGGGTCCACGTATTCTTCATTTGACTGAAACTGCTAGATGGCTCTCCAGAACAGCTGCAGCAGGTGACACACCACCAGCATCCCTGCCAGTACTTGCCATATCCCCTATGTGCTGGCAGAGAATGTGCTGCTGCTAAACCAAGAAAAAGGAAGAAGTGGGACTTAGGAAACAAGGACTCTAACCAAGGAAAGTGGTGAAAGGAATCCCCAGGGTGTGCAGTAGGCCTGGGTTTGGAGCATCATTGCATCCAGACTTCCCCCTCCCCAGGACCGCTTAAAAGGTTCAGCATATGAGAAACGGCATATGCTTTGCTGAAATCATTGTATATGAAGCAGCTCTTTGTCTATGAAGTTCAGTGTTTCTGCCTTCTTTCATTATCGTTCGATATTACCACCTACACATTGGATATAGCCCTTCTGTCTTCTTGCCCTAAGAATAACTTTAAAGACCTTTCTTGTTTTCTTTAGAATTTCTGGAAAACTACAGCACAGTCCTCCAGATAATATGTCATTCTTCAGGATCCATCTCTGTTTATGCTTTCCTTCATTTATATTTTGTCCACCCTCAAAAAATTAGTACAACAGGGAGCTCAGGCTGGCACACTGGTTTCCACTACTACTCTCTTTTCATCTTCACCATAATTATTCATGATTGTATAATCAAGATTTCTTTTTATTTGTTTTTATGTTTTGTTTTGTTTTTGAGACAGAGTCTCACTTTGTTGCCCAGGCTAGAGTGAGTGCCGTGGCGTCAGCCTAGCTCACAGCAACCTCAAACTCCTGGGTTCAAGCAATCCTGCTGCCTCAGCCTCCAAGTATCTGGCACTACAGGCACAAGCCACCATGGCCATGTAATTTTTTGTTTCTATTTTTAGTTGACTGGCTACGTTTTTTTCTATTTTTAGTAGAGATGGGGTCTCGCTCTTGCTCAGGCTGGTCTCGAATTCCTGACCTAAAGCAGTCCTCCCTCCTTGGCCTCCCAAAGTGCTAGGATTACAGGGGTGAGCCACCGCCATTGGCCAAGATTTCTTTTTAAAGAAGCTCCCTACTTGATATTAGCTAACAGAACAAACAGTTCTTGGTTAAATGATGGTTCTTTCTTGCACACTGAAAACCAAAAGAACTGGAGAAGCCAGGCTCTGCCAATGCACAAATGTAGACATAAATGAATCACACTGCCAGGCACTTGTGCAGTGTGCCTAAAACTTTCTCCTCTGCCTGGACTATTTCGACATCCTTCTTATTGTCTCCTTTTGTCCAGACTTGTGACCCTCAAATCCAAACTCCACTCAGCCACTGAGATCTACCTAAAACATGAAATCTCAGATCTACCTAAAACATGAAACCTCAGAATGAACGGCCTTCCCTTTTGTGTGTTGCTTCCTGTAGGATAGAGATAATACCCCCCACTGGCAATCCCAGGCCTTCCAGATGTCGGCCCTGCCTCCCTTGCACTTCCTCTTCCTGCACAGCTCCATGCCTACCAGCTGTGCTCTAGCCAAAGCTGATGCCCACCACACTGCTTCTTACCTTCATACCTTTGTGCATGCACTCTCCTCCATCTGGCATGTCTTCTTCCACCCAAATTGTTCTTTAGGACACAGCTCAGGCGT